TATAAAAGGGGGTGGAACAAAGGGGTCCAGTCATGAGAGATCCCCTACTTACCACCGGTGCTGGAACAAGGACTGTACCAGGAGAAAGGATTGGGCTTAGACTAGGAAGGAGTCAAGTCTGTGAAAGAAGCTTATTGGAACATCTCTAAGGGTGAGATTTACCTGTATTCAATTTCTTAAATGTATTAGGCTTAGACTTGCGGTGTTTTGTTTTATTTTACTTGTTAACTTACTTTGTTCTGTCTGTTATTACTTGAAACCACTTAAATCCTACTTTTTATTCTTAATAAAATCATTTTGTTTATTATTGAACCCAGAGTAAGTGATTGATTAATACCTGGGGGAGAAAACAACTGTGCATATCTCTCTATCAGTGTTACAAAGGGTGGACAATTCATGAGTTTACCCTGTATAAGTTTTATACAGAGTAAAACGGATTTATTTGGGGTTTGGATCCCATTGGGAGCTGGGTGTCTGGGTGCTGGAGACAGGAGTATCTGCCGAGTGGTTTTCAGTTAAAGCCTGCAGCTTCGGGGATGTGGTTCGAACCCTGGGTCTGTGTTGCAGTAGGCTTGCGTGTCTGGCTCACAAGACAGAGTTCTGAAGTCCCAAGCTGACAGGGAAAATGGGCTCAGAGGTAGTTTCAGCACATCAGGTGACAGTCCCAAGGGGGTCTCTGTGACCGAACCTGTCACAATGTAGAGCCCTGAATTTAGATAATACACAAAATATCTGTTCAGCACAGATCAGAAAAGGAAGATTTTGTGCTATTACACTAATTGACTTCCTCACCACAGAAATTGAAACAGTGTTCAAATCTTCCCACTTTTTGCCTATGTAACTTGCATTTCTATGATCCAACCTTTTTTTTTTTTCTGGCTACATATCTACAACCTTTCTCTGGGTCTTCATCACACCTCTTGATTACTTTAACCACCACCACATCCTCACAGGCCATCCCAGTAGCCGTATGACTTCCTACAATCCATACAGAATGCAGCTGCTAAGATAATCTTCCTTGCATGTGAACCTGACCATCTCTCTTCTTCTTTGAATCCCTGCACTGGCTTACCCATCTTCACTGCATCAAGTGCATGCTTTTTGTGATTGCTTTCAAGGGCCTATACAACGCTGTCCCTTCTTATTTATTTCTTCTTGCCTTATCAGATCATTTCCCATCCTCTGTGACGCCAGTCTTTGTAGCCCTGTTTGTCTGCTTATCCCACAATTGTCCCCCTGCTTTCTTCAACAATACATTTTGTGCATGGAAGGCCCTTCCGTAGCTGCCCCACAAAGCCATTGTACTCCTTTTTAAAAATCTTTTGTAAGTAGTTACCTTTTCTGCAGTTTCCACAAGAAGTGAACTAAAGCTGGGATTCTCCCTTCCACACAGAAGGTGGGCTGAGTCACCCTTGCCTTCTATCTCCCTCTCCTCCAAACCCAGTGGAGGGTGTTGTGCAGGTGTAGGGCCCTAAGTTCCTTCTAAGCTGTGCGGGCACGCAGCAGGCTATCAAGGGCTGTGCAAGTGGGGAGAGGCGCTGCTTCCCCGGCCCTGGAGCTCCCCCGGCGGGGAGAGATGCTGCTGCCCCGGGCTGCTGTTTCAAGGAGAGGCTGGGAGGAGTTCTCTCCCTTGCCCTCCCTCCTTCCCCCCATCCCCCGGGCGGCCTGCACCCCAGAGCCTGCACCCCCAGCCAGAACCCGAACCCTAATCCTCTGCCCTGGCCCTGAGCCCCCTCCTGCACCCCAAAACCCTCATCCCTGGCCCTACCCCAGAGCCCGCACCCCAACTCTCTGCCTGAGCCCCCTCCCAAACCCCTCGGCCCTACCCCCGCCACACATCACCTTCATATTGGTGCACGTAACACAATTCATTCCGCACATGGACGTAAAAAATTAGAGGGAACGTTGGCGTGGGCTACTCTGGGAGAGGAGAATGAGAGAAGAATGTGCTCGGGACTCTCTGTGTCTTCCTTATCTTTTTGCTGATATTTTTTACCTGGAAATTTTGTACAATCTGGACCTATGTTACAACTTCCTCTCATAGGAAATCCCAGGAGTAGCTGCAATCAGGGGTAATCCTTGGTAATGTCATTCCCTCACAGTTTGGCTGTCAGGAAGATGAAGGTAGGGAAGTGCAGGATAATGCAGACTCAGAGTGATGTAGGAAGGTCGCCTCCATAGCTAGCTCCCCATGTGTTTTTAAAATGAGGGATGATCAGGACCTAAGCCATCTACTTACCTATTTTATTTATCGCATGTAAGAACTGTAGAATGTTGGAAGAGAGTGGAATCTGGGAATTTACATGAGAGAAAGATAAGAGGGTTAAATTGTGGAAGATGGTTGGGAGTGAGGGAAGAGAAAGGGGACTAGTGATCAATTAACTGCTTATTTATTTGAACACCAAAACCATGTAACTACTATGATAGATACCTGTTTTCACCATGGTCTTTTGTATTTTACAACTTTATCCTCCATTCTTAATCTATTATGCTCTTTTTAGGATAGGATCTGTGCCTTCATTAGTGCTTGTAAAGTATTTAAATACTCTCACATTTGAAATAGTAGTAGTAATTACTATCACTACTAAAATTTTTTTTGCACCTTTCTTATATTAAACAAGTTTGCATAGGTTCAGAAAAGATTACTCTTTGAGGCAGTATTGTCGAGTGGGTAGTTAAGGGCTGTTTCTGTCATTGCCTGTTAGCTTCAGTGTCCCTACTTGTAAAATGGGGATAATAATACCCACTTGGGGAATTTTTTTTGTGGGGGGAGGTAGATGCTTTATATAAGGAATGTATTATTACAGAAGAGGAAAGGGGTGTAAGTGTAGTTTCTTTTAAAAAAGTTGTTTGGCAAAATAACTAAAACTAAATAAAGCCCTGAAAAGCATCTGTTAAAGTGGTAATAGTTGAAATGGGCCCAGCAGGAACAAAAAGCCACATCCCAGAAGTTTGTTTTAAATAACTTGGACCTGGTCTGAGCAGTATTAGAATGTACTTTTAATTTGGTAGTATGTATTTCTCCTTTATATGCCATTTCTTCTTTTGGTACAACTCCATTCTATCAGACTGCTACAATATTTCTTTGCTCAGAGTACAGAGTGGATGGAGGTACAGTGAAACCCCGCTATACCGCGATGTTTGGGGTCCAAAAAATTACATAGCGCTAAATGCGGGGTCGCGGTATAGCGGGGTTTCAAGCCCGTCAGTAGTCCCCAAGGCAGTGCATTGATGTGCGCCGCCTAGTGCCCCTAGTGCCTAGCAGGGGAGAGAAGCTGCAGCCCCGCGCCTGCTGGGGACAGTGAGCACCGGCGCCCACAGCCCTGTTGTTCTCTGTCTCTGGCAGGCGCGGGGCCACGGCTTCTTTCCGGCTTCAAGAGGAGCCGCGGTCCGGCGCCTGGAGCTCTCTGTCCCCGGCCGGCGGGGCCGCGGCTCCTCTTGAAGCTGGAGAGAAGCCGTGGCCCCGCACCTGCCCGGGACAGAGAGCACCGGCACCTGCAGCCCTGGAGCTCTCTGTCCCCGGCAGGCGCGGGACTGCGGCTTCTCTCCAAGCCGGAGAGAAGCTGTGGCCCCGCGCCTGCCAGGGACAGAGAACAACAGGGCTGCGGGCATCAGTGCTCACTGTGCCTGGCAGCAGGGCCGCAGCTTCTCTCCCCTGCCTGGCACTTCTCTCTTCTGTATTACTGTATGTCTTAAACCGGGGGCCAAATTGTGATCGCGTTGTATGCGATTTCGCGTTATGGTGGGGCGCCTTATTGCGGGGTTTGACTGTATTATGTTATTAAGAGTGATAGATTTTTGTAGATGCTGTTTTGAATCCAGGTTCATGTTTCAGATATCTGTACTTATTTGTTCAGAAATCAAGTTTAAAAAAAAAAACCCCAAAACCCAACCCTAAGTAACTGATGTTTTCTACCTAAGTGGTCTTGTAACTTTAATCATAGAGAAAACATTGCACTGTCAAAGTAACATTTTTAGTCAATAGAAGAATTTAGGTGAACAATCTATCTACTTTAAGTGAAATATATTATAGAATAGCCTAGTTGCTTGGTGATGTGCAATTTCTCAGCAATTGTACTTCATTTCCAGGTTCAGGTTCACAGAAGCTAGGAACGTTGTTGTGTCCAAAGTTGTGTTTCTGAGGGCAAGTCTACCCTACAGTGCTACATTGGCACAGCTACATCGATACAGTTGTGCTGCTGTAAACACACTATGCCGACAGAGTGCTCTCCTGTTGGCATAATAGCTTCCGCCTTTCGTGGAGGTGAAATAATGTTGGTGGGAGAGTGTTTCCCGCCAACGTGGCTCTGGTGTGGACAAGGCTTAGGTTGATGTAACTTGTGTCGCACAGGGGAGTCTTTCACACTCCTGAGTGACATAAGTTACATGGACTTAAGTGGTAGTGTAGACCAGCCCTTAAAGGTGTAAGATGAATGGAAATCTCAGTCTTGGTTAGCTGTGGTAACAGCTTTGATAGGTTTGGAGAGCCTTTTCTTGTCCTCTTGGCTGGAGGAATCAAGGGCAGTGCAGGATTAAAGGAAACATCTAGGGGAAAAATAACTATTCCATAATTGAGGAACCAGTGAAGTCTTAGAAACTCTGTAGGTTGTGAGCTAATATTCTGAGTTCCTGCCCTTGGGAAGACAGCTGCTAAAGGCATAAATCTTTATTGATGATTGGGAACAATATTGTGGAGGGGGAGAATGATAGACTACTATTCTAACTTTTCTTATAAAAATCTATCTTGCCTAACAGTAGTTTTTGTTGAATTACTTATAAATGATCATGTTAAATATTATTACAGGTGAGTCAAATATTAAAATTCTACCCTAAAAGCACAAAAATTAAATGTAGGGTGTTTTTTTTAATTTAGTTACACAAACTGAGAGTACAGGTTAGCTCAAAATGACCAAGTTGTTTAGCCAGTTGTTCTCTTTTTCCCCATTTAACCCGATTTTTAGGAAATAAACATTAACTCCTTGTCAAAATTTTATTTTTAGATAAATGAATTGGTGGATGCCCGTGATGTCAGCATTGGAGCCTGGTTTGAAGCTCACATAGAAAATGTAACCCGAGCAACAAAAGGACATAAGAATGGTAAAGCTCAAGCAAAAAGTGGCAATACTTACAGAAGGACTAATGGAAACTTAAGCCAAGATCATTCTAGAGAGAATACAAATAATTTGGACAGTGCACCTTCAACATCTTATTCAGACTGTATGGACACTGATGAAGATGCTATTTATCATATCAAGTATGATGAGTAAGTGCTCCTGATATTGTTTTGAGGACACAATGTGAATTTATTTGGTTTGTGTAAACCAAGAATATTGTTGAAGAAACTTGGATCCTAGAGAGAGCAAGTTCAAAATTACAACCAAAAAGCAGTATTAAGAAGCCATAACACATTTCTTTTGGATTTAATGACTAATCGGGGCGTGATGAGAATTTTTTTTTCTTACTCCTGAATTCCTATGAAGTATTTAACTTTTATGGTTCACCTTTATGAAACTTAAAACCCTCCCCTTAACAAGGAAGTGACATTAAAAATCAGATTTGCTGTATCTGTTTTGCTGCATAAGACATGAGTATAAGTAAAGCATAACTTTTTAAAATTTATATTACTCCCATTGAAGTCCAAATGGAGAGACAAAACTCTCATGGGAGCAAAATCTGGTGCTTGAATTGGATGAATTTGACTCAAGGGTAATATTGATGCACAAAGTTACCAGTCTGCCTTTCATGTAAATCTTTACAACCAATCCCCCAATTGAGGGATTGAAATCAATTCTATAATTTCAATATGGAATGAGGGTGTTGGGTGAAAAAATAAAGATTCAAACCTGCAATGAATGTGCCAGTGTAGACCCCTGTGTCAAAATCCCATAGAGTTTAATGGGATTTCGCTACACAAGTCCTCACTGGTGCATCAGCTTACAGAATTGGGACCAAGATATTAAAAGCATCCTTCCATTTAAACACTTTTAGCAACTAAAGGAATAATGTTGAATATTCCGTTACATTGCGGAGTCTAAAAGACATGGTGCTTTTGTGTTTTGAGTCTTCATAGTAGAGGATGATGCACGTACCCTTGTACAGGAGTATAAAGGAGGTATACCTTGCTGAGGTTAATTAATGTTCTTCATCAGAGTTTCAAAAGAAACTTTAAATCAGCAATGTCTCTTTTAAGTTTTATTTTTTCAATATAATACAATAAAACAATTATTGCTAGGAGATGTAAAAATTGATTTGCTATTTGTTGGGGACTGGAACATAACTACTTTTAGCTACTCCTGATAGTAGTGGGTTTTTTTAATGTGCTCATGCTTGAGGATCATTGTTTTTGTCTTTGTGCACTATCTGTTTAGTTAAGTTTTTTACATATGCATCTATATAAACAAGTCATGTATCCATATATGTAAAATACAATCTCCCTCTCCCCCTCCCAATATTGTAGTTTAAAAATATCAGTAAGATTAAAAAGTTACAAGAAAATCCTGCAAAGTACACCTCTACCTTGATATAATGTCCTCGGGAGCCAAAAAATCTTACCAAGTTATATCGAACTTGCTTTGATCCACTGGAGTGTGCAGCCCCGCCCCCCGGAGCACTGCTTTACTGTGTTATATCCAAATTTGTGTTATATCGGGATTGAGGTGTACCTTAAAAGCACTAGATATGATTAAAATATCACTATAGTGTGACAGAAGTGAATCATTCTGTGATTTCAAAGATCCAGTTTTAAGACTGACTGACTTTAAGATACAACAGAGTTGTTTAAAGGAGAGATGGTGGCACAAGCAAAAGCATAAAAAGATTTGTGGAAATGGCTTTTGTGACCACTAGAAGGAAATTGTTTCATCCGCTCAGCTATTGTCAATTCATATGAGTCCGAGAATTACTGGAGAGGTGAAGCAACCCTGGAATTAGAAGATATAGGATGCATGATGTCACTTGCGCAGACATACGACAAACACAATTTCAATTCTATTCCTCTACTGTCTGTACCATAAGGTTTAGCTGTGCATTTCTAGCAGGTGGAGACAATCAACTTTTTTGGCTTCCTTTAATATGATCTGCAGCAGGTTTGTATTCTTAGCTAGTGACCATCATAACTGCATTGTTTTCTTTTTTTAACTGTCTGAAATTGCCTGAAAGTCGTGATTACCTACTTTCACTGGAATGAACTTTCTAAATATTTAAAGTGTGAGCTTCTGAGAACACAGTTTTTCTGAGGCTGTCTGGAGAGCAAGATCTCTGCATTTTTCAGTTAGTAGGGAAAGCTTCAGATATAAAGTTATCCCCTGGCAGACAAAACAGCTATCTAGTAATCAGGATGAGTGTTGCAAATCCATCAAGGTCCAACTTTAATCAAGTGATGTGGTCTTATTCTTCTGTGTGGAAAAACACAGAACATTGCTCAGTAATTAGAGAGTTTAGTAAGATTTCTGTTCCTCCTTAAATGACAGCTTCTTCTGAATCTAGACAAACCACAGATTATGTCCACATGTATCTTTATTATTTATTTGCATTGTGGTAGCACTTAGTAGCCCCAGGTATGGACTAGGTTCCTGTTGTGCTAGGCAGACTGTACAAACATAACAAAAATATATCCCTCTCTCAAAGACCTTATTAAAGACAAATTTGAAATACTCTGCGAATGCCACCACTATCCAAGAGTAAATCCCTATAGAAGAAATAGAAAGCAGCACTCAGTATTTTTCCAAGAATTGTTATATCAGCCTCCATCCTTTTTAGTAGAACAGTCAAACAAATGAAATTTGTAGAAAAAATTACACAGTCTGACAATGTTGTATCAGAGGGTATCGTCACACTAATTGAACTTGCGTTAAAATATAAATGGAGTTAGCACGGTCATATCCATCTCCCAGTGGATAGTCTTTTGAGGCATGTGAAAGTCTCACCATTAGACACCATTGAAAATTAGTTTTATCTTGCCAGTAACTTTCTTTCTCCAAGTGGGCAGCAGCTGTTCTGTTAGGCCAGTACTCCTGGTCTCTCAGCCTTCTTTCCATGCTTTTGAGGTAGACTCAAGATCCCCCTTATCTTCCCCCATCCCAGTTGAGTGTCAGCTCCCACATTTCTCCCAGCTGGGACCTATATATAAATATATAATTTTATAAAAAGATTAACAATTGAAGTGCTTCACTAAAAACACTTTCTCTTACTCACTCTCTAGATCTCCTCCTATCAAACCAGAAATGTTTATTCCTGTGCTCTTTCAAGCCATTGAGGCTTAGAACAACAATTATATAAGCACAGGGTGGGTTCTAATGGAACAGTGGGAACACTACAGGTAAGGAAACTAATTTTACCTTTCTCCTATGTGGGTACCCACTGTTCCATTAGTCTAGTACTGATGGGAAATAGCAAGCAGTAATAAAAATCCTCCAAGAAAATTGGGGGCGGGGGGGGGAAGGGAATAGTTATGAGAACCAAAACAAAGTTTTATCCAACAACAAACATTATTTTTTAAAGGATTTATTGCAGAACACAGAATTGAAACTAAAAGATCCTTTTTTCAAAAAGTGTGCCATATGAGGCTAAAAATACTATCTTGTGTGAGCCAAGTAAAGGAAGTTGGCTTAAGACCATGTAGCTGAAAGACAGTTTTTATTGTATGGTCCTGCTCTACCCTTGAAGTAGTCGTTGCACCTGGCCAAATGAGCCTTGTCTGCACCCGGGGGTCTTCAATAGACACCTGAAAAATAGCTGACAAAATATTTTCTGGGTGGAAAATATTAGCTGTGTACTCTGTCCCCTATATAAAATGAACATTATCGTTATTTGTGTTTTCGTAGTGTCTAGCAGCTCTAGTCAGGGACCAGGACTCTGTTGTGCTAGGCACTGTACAAACACAGAACAAAAGTGTCTATTGGACTTCCTCTAAGGCCTTGTTATATGTAAATAGAATTATTCTAGGGCTGTCAATTAATTGTGGTTAACTCAGGCGATTAATTTTTGTGAGTTAATTTGTTTTGAGTTAATCACGATTAATCACACAATAATAGAATACCAATTTACATTTATTATAATATAAATATAATTTTTTTTTATATTTTCAAATATATTGATTTCAGTTACAACACATAATACAAAGTATACAGTGCTTACTTTATATTTTTTATTAAATATTTGCACTGTAAAAAAGAAACAAAAGGAATAGTATTTTTCAAGTCACCTCCTACAAGTGCTATAGTACAATCTTTCTTGTGAAATTTACAAATGCAGATTTTTTTTTTTAACTGCACTCAAAAATAAAACAAAACTTTAGTGACAACAAGTCTACTCCATCCTATTTCTTGGTCAGCCAAATGCTAAGACAAACAAGTCTGTTTACATTTATGGGAGATAATGCTGCCTGCTTCTTATTTATAGTGTCACCTGAAAGTGAGAACAGATGTTCACATGGTACTGTTGTAGCTGGTGTCGCAAGGTATTTATGTGCCAGATATGCTAAATGTTTGTATGCTTCGATCACCATTCCAGAGGACGTGCTTCCATGCTGATGACTGGTTCTGCTCGATAATGATCCACAGTAGTGTGTACAGACACATGTTCATTTTCATAATCTGAGTCAGATGCCACCAACAGAAATTTTCATTTTCTTTTTTGGTGGTTCAGGTTCTATAGTTTCTGCATCTCAGTGTTGCTCTTAAGACTTCTGACAGCATGTTCCACACCGCATCCCTCTTCAGATTTTGGAAGGTACTTCAGATTCTTAAACCTTGGGTCAAGTGCTGTAGCTATCTTTAGAAATCCCACATTAGTACCTTTTTTTGCGTTTTGTCAAGTCTGCAGTGAAAGCGTTATTAAATCGAGCAACATATGTGGGTCGTCATCTGAGACTGCCATAACATGAAATATATGGCAGAATGTGGGTAAAACCACAGACCAGGAGACATACAATCCCTCCCAAAGGGTTCAGTCACAAATTTAATTAACACTTTTTTTTTTTTTTAAATGTGTGTCATCCAGATGGACGTATGTCCTGTGGAATGGTGGCCGAAGCATAAAGTGGCGTATGAGGGTTTAGCATATCTGGTACATAAATAGCTTGCAACGTTGTCTACAACAGTGCCATGCGAACGCCCGTTTTGACTTTGATCCAAGTGAAAAGCAGTATTCCCCTTAGGAACAAATGCAGGAAGTGGAATAAAGACTATTCTGTCAAGAAAAATGGTAGATAAGGGCTTTTTGATTACTGCACCAAGTTTGCCCACCCTTCTAGCTGAAAAGACT